AGTCAGAACTCTCTTGTTAACACACCTTGTTGTTAGGTGCTGTCACATAAGAGTATAACTCATAGCAGCCCTGTGAACAACAGACCTGAACCTTGTCCTATCCTGTGCCGTCTTCACAATCTCTGACACACTCAGGCCCATTGCTGCAGTCCAGCATCTCAGATGCTCTGTTCTGCATACAGATTGGAAAGGTATGGAGACAAAATACATCCCTGGCGTATGCCTTTCCCAATTTGAACCATGCAGTGTTTCCTTTCTCTGTTCTAATGACTGCCTCTTGGTCCAAGTATAGGTTTCGCATTAGTACAATCAAATGTTCTGGGATTCCCATTCTTCTCAGAGTCAGCCACAGCTTGTTGTGATCCACACAGTCAAAAGCCTTTGCATAGTCAATGAAGCACAGATAGACATTCTTCTGGTGTTCTCTGATTTCTGCCAAGACCCATCTAACATTAGCCATAATATCCCTAGTACCACGACCTCTTCTAAATCCAGCCTGCACATCTGTTGACATATTGCTCCAAATGTTTTTGGATAATTTTCAGCAGAATCTAGCTTGCATGTGATATTACTGATATTGTTTGATAAATTCTGCACTCTGCTGGGTCACCTTTCTTTGGAATGGGTACAAATACCTATCTTTTCCAGTCAGTTGGCTGGCTAGCTGTCCTCCAGATTTCTTGGCACAACTAAGTGAGCACATCCAGGGCAGTGTCTGTTTGTTGAAATAAATCAATTGGTATGCTGTCAACTCCTGGAGCCTTGTTTTTTTTTTTTCTATTCCTTCATAGCAACTTGAACTTCCTCCTTCATCACTATAGGCTCTTGCTCATATGCTATTTCATGAAATTCTTCTGTGTCTGCCAATTCCTTCTGATACAGTGACTCTGTACTCCCTCCATCTTCTTTTGATACTTCCTGGATCATTTAACATTCTACCCAAAGTGTCCTTAAGTATTGCCACCCGTGGATTGAATTTGTTTTTCAACTCCTTCAGCTTAAGAAATGCTGAGTGAGTTCGGCCCTTTTGATTTTCTGACTCCAGCTCTCTGCACATTTCATTATAGTGTCTTGCTTTGTTGTCCTGAGCTGCCTTTTGAAATTTTTGTTCAGCTCTTTGATTTCTTGGTTTCTTCCTTTAGCTTTGGCTTCTTAGCGCTCTGATGCAATACTCAGAGTCTCATCTGACATCATCTTGGTCTTTTCTTCTTCTTCAGCCTTTGTAATGATCTTTTGCATTCTTCATGGATGATTTTCTTGATATCCTCCCAGACCTTGTTTGGCCTATGCATATTGGTGCTCAAGGCCTCAAACCTGTTCCTGAGATGGTTTTGAAATTCGAGTGGGAAAGACTTAAGGTCAAATATTGGTTCCCATGGACTTGATTTGCTTTTCCTCAGCTTCAGCTTGAACTTACATATGAGTAGTTGGTGGTCTGTCCCACAATTAGCACCTGGCCTGGTTTTCACTGCGGATCCTGAACTCCTCCAGTCTTTCCACAAATGTAATTGATTTGATTCCTATGAATACCATCAGGTGAAATCCATATGTATAGCCTGCATTTATGTTTCTTATAAAAGGTATTTGCAATGAATAAATCATTGAATGTGCAGAACTCTATCATTCTATCTCCAGCCTCATTTCTCTCACCAAGCCCGTATTTTCCAGCTACTGATCCTTCTTCCCTGTTCCCAACTTTTGCATTCCAGTCGCCCATTATTATCAATGCATCTTGATTGCATGTGTGATCAATTTCTGACTGCAAAAGTTGGTATAAATTTTCCATTTCCTCCTCTTTGGCTGTAGTTGTCAGTGCATATATTTGAATGATAGTGGTATTCACTGGACTTTCTTGTACGCGTATGGTTATTATATTGCTGCTCATTTTCTAACTGGGTAAATGTCTTTCACCTGCTCTTTTCTGTAAAATACTTATCTGTCAGATACTATTATATATATTTAAAAAATTGAAGCAGACTAAGAAGAAAGATTGGCCATCCACTTCCGAAATGACAGGCCTTTGAAAACCCTATGTACAACAGAGCACATTAGACTATCACTTGGACTAGCAGTCATGGTAATTGAAACTGAGATCTTAGAAATGGAAACCAGAGAAGGAGGAACAGCTGTAAGCAGACACTAGTGACTGGAACGTGGAATGTGAGAAGCATGAATGTAGGAAAATTGGACATTGTTAAGAAAGAAATGGAACACATAAATATTGACATACTAGGCATTGGCGAAATGAGATGGCTTGGCATGAGACATTTTGAATCAGACGATCATATGATTTATTATGCCGGGGATGAGAAGGTGAGAAAAAATGGGGTTGGTTTCATAATTTAAAAAATTTCAACATTAAGAAAATAAAAACCCTCACCACAGGATCATTAGGCAACATTATGGTAAATGGAGGGAGCTCTGGTGGCCTAGTAGCAAAAAGTTGCACTGTAATCCAAAAAAACAACAACAACATGGTATATGGAGTAAAGGCTGAAGTTATCAGCAACTTCATTTTACTTGGATCCACAATCAACACTCATGGTAACAGTGGTCGAGAAATCAAAAATACATATTGCACTGGGAACATCTTCTGTCAATGACTTCTCCAAAATGCTGGAGAGCAAAGGTAACCGTTTAAAGACCAAGGTGTGCCTGATCCATGTCATAGTATTTTCAGTTGCAGTGTTTGCATCTGAATGTTAGACAATGAATAAGTAAGAGAGAACTGATGCTTTTAAATTGTGATGTTGGAGAAGAGTATTTAGTATCCCATAGACTGCCAAGAGGACAAACTAATCTGTTCTGAAGGACGTGCAACCTGAGTGCTCCTTAGAGGCAAAGATGGTGAAACTTCATCTCACATACTTTGGACAGGTGGTCAGGAGACATTACGCTGGGAAAGGTAAAAGGTCAGAGAAAGAGAGACACTCAACAAGACAGACTGACATAGTGGCCATAACAATAGGCTTGAGCATAGCAGATCATAAAGACAGAGCAGGACAGACGACGGTTTTGTTCTGTCATTTATAGAGTTACTCTGTCTCAGTGGCACCTAACAACAACATGATAAATACACATTTACCTTAATCAATGAAGAGATGCTGAACCACTTGGCCAGTGTCCTTCCCACATTAATGTGGTCAACTCAGCCTGGAGAACTTGATGGAGGGTCAGTAAGAGCTGGAATTGACTTGATGATAGAGAGTGAGTGAGTGGTAGGTGTGTGGGGCCCCTAGAGGTATAAAAGTTAACATTTGGATGTTAACCAAAAGGTTGGCAGTTCAATTCCCCTGAAGCACCTTAGAAGCAAGTCTTTGAAAACTCCAGGGAGCAGAGCTCTACTCTGACATATGTCACCATGAGCTGTAATCAACAGTACAGAGGAGCCCAGAGTGAGGGGCCAAGTCCAGGAGAGCCCCACTCCCAAGAGATCTGATATTGCTGTCCCTTTCCTCCAAAAGATAAAAAGAAAATAAACACACAACAGCTTTCAGGGGAGTCAGAAACAAAACATCAAGGACAATGTTAATAAATACTGAAAATTTAGAAACATCTGCTCAAAGGCACAGAGTTGACGTGGTGTATGTAACACGGGCCAGGCTGGGCTCTGCAGGAATGGTTCATGTGTGCACCAGAAACAAGGGGAAGCGGCTTAGAGAAAGCCTGGGGGAGCCCCTCTGGGGTGTCTGGTCTCCAGTGGGCCCCATTGCACCATTAAGTCAGCTCCCAATAGCCTTCCCTTGGCTGAAGGCAGCAGGACCCTGGGACAGGAACGACGACAAGCACCATTATTGGCTGGTGAGAGGTTTGGGAGACCCTGTCCATGACTTCTGACTTCCTGGAGTGGGGACTCCTGAGAAGTCTCCTGGGCACATCAGCATCTTCCTGAGAGCCGGAGGGCCTGGGCGTGTTACTGTCCCCTGCAGGTAACACGGGGACAGTGAGTCTGGCTGAGGCCCTACAGTGTGGGACTGTGGTCACTGCTCTTCCAGTACTGGTGTTGGGCAGGGTCCCCAGTCCTGTCCTGGCACCGACCTGGGTAGCCCTTGTCTAAGCAGGGTTTAGTGATGAGTGGGGTTTGACTGTTCCCCCAGACCACCACAGACCTTTAGCCATGACAGCAGGGAGAAGCCACTGTCTCCAGCAGGAGTGCTCTTTGGCTGGCAGTGGGAAGGGCCTGGCACCACCAGGAAAAAAAGACTCTATTTTCTGTTTGTCATGGTCACTTCCGGTTAGGTTTCCCCAGCTCCTGAGCTGTGTTCCTGATCCAGCCAGGGGCTAAGCACCAATTTGGAAAGCCCTGGACAACGAGGACATGGTTCCAAGTGTCCTGAGCCCCCTTCTCTAGTGAGTTGGGGTTGAGGTGAGGGCAAGGCCAAGGCCAGTCTGTAACATGGTCACCGGAAGTAAAAGGAGTGAGGTCTGAAGGGACAGTGTAAACGAAATTGTGTCCTCCAGTTGGCCAAGGCAAGCTGGGCTTGGCTCCCTGGCTGGAGCCGGCAGAGCTGGGCCTGAGAAGAACTTGCTTTCCTGCTCCCACACTCTGCGGTCGGGGGGGGGGGGGAACCCTTTTGACCACATTCACCCCTAGTACCCTTTTTACCTCAGGCTGCCTTATGAGTCCCCCACCCTTCACCTTCCCTGGATCCCCTTTGTCTTTCAAAACAGAAGAGGGAGAGGGGTGTAAGGCTCAACAGGGTCCCACAGGTTATCCCCCAGGGCAGGCAGCCTGGCTGCTGTGGGCGGCACAAGCTGGCCCCCGAGGCTCAGTTCTATCTCCCAGGACTGTGTGCTGAGGTATCTCGGGTGAGAGATTTCCCTGATCTTTTCCTTCCCCCACCCCTTCAGGGGGTGAAGAATATCACAGCCCCAAAGAAGAAGGCAAATAACTTAAAAGGAAACCTGTGCTGGCCCCTGCCCACTATGTCTGCTCTGAGTAGGGACCACAAGGGTTGCATGGGGCCTGTAAACTTGACTGACAAAATGGGACAGGCAGCTCAGGTCACCGGGGAGGCAGTGGGGCGGCTGGTGCCTGGATGTTTCTGGTCTTCCCTGGGCAGCCCTCTCTCCTCAGAGGGTGCTGTGGGTACTGCCGTCCAGCTTGAGGACCGCCCCCGGAGGGTGGTAGAGGAGGTGCCCCAAGGTGCCCCAGTGCTCAGTCTCTTGGTGACAGAGTGGCGCTGGGTCCTGGGGTAGCCTGTGTCCGGTTCAGGAAGCCATGTGGTTAGAGCAGGCTGATGACCACTTGGCTCTGGTGACCCTCCAGTGGGCTCCACAGGATCTGGAGAAGTCTTGGGTCTTGGGATGAGGCTTCCATGGGTGGTGGAGAAGGGCGGTGGTGAGGCCAGGCTGGGGTCCTTCTTGGTGCAAGATTCACAGCAGAGCTGGCGGTAGCCGGGGATGGAGCAGTGGTGGTCTAGCACCTCCATCTGGCAGAAGATGGACCTGTCCCCAACGCAGGGCTCAGCTGCATACACAGCACAAAAATCAGTGTCAGGAGGACATTTAGGGTGCTGGTCGACCTGAGACCACGACCCACTTCCCACTCACTCTACAACTACTCATTCCTCAACTCTTGCCCTGCTGTGTTCTCTATAAAACACTTTCCCAGAGGGGGCCACAGATTCCTGGCAGGAGAGACTCAATAGGGCACGAAAGCTCCTATCAGGAATAGGGGAGAGAATCCCTGGAAGCAGTGGTCTCAAAGCAGGGTCCCCAGACATGTGACATCAGCACCAGGGGGGAGCTTGACAGAGATGCAAATTCTCAGGGCCCAGCCAGACCTTCTAAGCTAGACACTGGGAGAGGGACTCGGAACCACTATCTAACAAGAACCTCCAGGTCATCCTGATGCAGGTGAAAAATCAGAACCACTGCCCCACATCACGCATCTTCAGACCTGACTGTGCTCAGGAATAATTGACAGTTTTACAGTTGACTTTCACTTAGCTCCCAGCCCCCGAGCCTGAGCAATCTGGGCTACAGGCAGCCAAACTTGAGAACCCTGTTCTAGGTGGAAGTCAGACCCCTCCCCCAATCTAACCAATCGGAGCTCAGAAAACATCCAGGTGGCTCATACCGTGACAGCTGGTCACACAGGCTGATCAGCACACATGGAAAATTAAGCTTTCTACCAATCAATATGGAATGAAGCACATTTGGGTTCAAACCCAGGCCTCACCACTTAGAAGCTGCAAGGCCTTGGGCAAGTACTTAAAGTCACTATGCCTTATTTTCTTCATATGTAAAAAGGAGATAATGTTGCATTTGCCAAAAAACAATAGCATAGACTAGCACACAGACAGTGCCTGGCAGTGAGGCACTGGACTACTGGACTACTTTCCTTTATTTGCTAAAAATAATTTGAAAACAAGTCTGTAACTGCTCCAGAGAGATGAGTATGGCGTCTCTCTCAACAGAAGGTGAAGGCAGGATCTTTGCAAACAAATTGTTACCCGGAAAGAGAAGTTTAGAGAAACAGGAGGATAATTGAGTGAGATATGTATATGTCTTCAAAAGGGAAAGGAGATAAGGGGAGCAGAAAAAGGGGAAGGAAGGGGAAAATCACTGAAATAGCAGAGGTTGGGGTGTAGGGAGTGGTGTAAAGTAATGGGAAAAGTTCAATAGGGGCTTGAAAGAATGGGATACTAATAGGCATAGGTTTGAAACATATGAAAGAGAATGTATATGAATAATTGTATAAAACATAAAGTGCATGTACAAAACACAATAAGTACGAATGATTCTATGCAAGCCAATAAATAAAAAAAAAAAAAAGAAAGAAAATGGAGAGAAATGGCCAGTAGGTGGTGCTAGAATCCCAGGCTGGAGGTGGCAGTCTGGACCCACCCCAAGCTCTTGAGAGGAGGGAAACCCTGGAGCTTGTACCCAGGGTGCATTGAGAAGGTCCTTTGAGGACTTTGTGTTCAACTCCTTCATTTAATAGGTGAGGTTGTTGAACTCAGAGAGGTTAAGGGATTTATGTGAAGACAGACCTCTAAATATGATCTTTCTGCTCTTTGGCGAGATTCTGGTGTTTGGGGAGGTGAGGAAGGTGGAAAGAAGAACCTAGGAAGGGAACAGAGTGTGTGCCACACACCTGTATCACTGGATGGATGAGTGTGCATGCATGGGACGATGGGAGGATCTGAGCATTTAAAAACCGCTCACACTCATTGCTAATAAGTTGGAACCAACTTACAGCTGACCCTCCAGCAGACTTTTGGGGGCCTGTAAATCGGGTGGGAGGAGACTGCCACTGGAGGATTCAAATCAGCTGAGAAGCACTGCCTTTGGGCTATCAGTGCATCTCCCTATGGAGTGCACCACCAGAGCTCCTTTGGGTTGATCATAAAAGCAGAGAGAGACTGCTGTTAGCTGAGAGTGGCAAAAAATAGCACTGCTTTCATTCGTCTCAAGAACTCTATGAAGGTGGCTCAGGTTTACAAACGTTTATCCAAAAATACTAGGGCCAGATGTGACTCCGAATGCTAGGACTCTCGAAAGGTAACACTGTGGGTTCGCCCTGCACGTTTTGTTCATTACACAGCATGCCCTATTATGTCTGAATCTGGGCCATCACCTTGTGAAAAAATAAGGCAATGTGTTTCTGCGGCACAGAAATAAACCCTTTCATATCAGACCAGGCTGTGCTACCCAATGAGTTTGTACCAAACGAAGCAAAAATTCTTCCACTGTCAGAGCCTGCAGCACCTTGGAACCATAGATAAGGGAGTGAGGGCCAGCACTACCATCGAAAGTATTACAACCACCACCAGCACTGAGGCCCCGGTAGAGCGACAGTTAAGTGCTCAGACTGTGGTGTGAACACAAAGAAGACAGAGGTGCCAGTCTGCTTCTGTAAAGGTTTTCGGCTTTGGAAACGCCATGGGACAATTTTATCCTGTCTTATAGGGTCAGCTCATTAGAGGTGATCTGCCAATAGCAGAGTTAAGACTCCTATTATGTCAAAAGAATAAAGAAATCTAACTCGGAGGAAGTGAAACCAGGGTCCTCCTTAGAGGCAAAAATGGTGATACTTTGTCTTATATACTTTGGACACGATGTCAGGAGGAAAAGGGCATCATGTCCTTGGAAAAGGGCATCATGCTGGCAGAGGGTCAGAGAAAGTGAGGAAAACCCTTAACAAGACAGATTGGCACAGTGTCAAAAGATGTGACAGGAACAATGGGCTTGAGCACGATGGAGGTCGTGAGCGTGGCGGAGGGTGGGACAAGATTCAGATCTGTTGTTCCTAGAGTCCAAATGGGTTGTAGTCTACACGACAGTACCCAACAACAACAACAGCACCATCATCTCCAGTTCACAGTCAGGCATCTGAGGCTCAGGAAGGCCCCCACGGTCATCATGAAAGCTGGGTCACCATGATGCTATGGGCCTGGCTCATGATCACATGGCCCTGTAGGTTTGGGGAGGGAAGAAGGACCCAGAGAACGCACTCACCTGATGATATCTTGTTAAGAGGCTGGAGAGTCCCAGATTGCAGGGTCCACTTTGGGGTCACAAGTTCCCTGGTGTCAGCTTGTGCTGTGGAGTTCAGGAGACCTCCTGTGAGCAGGGAGGAAGGGAATGGATTGAGACGCTAGCATGTGGTGAAGGTGAGTCCCTGGTGGTACAAATTAACACACTCAGCTGCTAACTGAAAGGTTGCACGTTTGCATTCACCTAGAGATGCCTCAGAACAAAGGCCTGGCAATCTATTTCCTATGAGAAGCCTGTGGAGAACAGCTCTGCTCTGAAACACGTGGAGTCACCATGCGTTGGAGTTGACTTGCTGACAACTGGTGGTTAGGGCTGAACAGGGAAGATGGGCTGGTCTTTGGTCTTCCAAGGCCTGGGTCTGCCCTCCCGGTCCCATCTGGCTCACCTTTACAGGGGGGCAGGCTGCAGGCCTGGACGGTGTCTGGCTTGTCCCCCTCGCACTGCCCCAGACTGCTGGTGTTGGTCCGGCATACCACCTGGCGCTGCTGGATGCCCTCTCCACAAGTGGTGGAGCACTGCTCCCGAGGGTGGGGAGGAGTGGGAGGCAGGTCCGGAGGAGGAAGGGAGAGACAGGAAAGAGGGCAGTGAGCTCCAAAGTCCAGCCAATGCTCGGGGCCAAGGCAAATGGCTAACTCTTCTCTTGGCCTGAAGGGACATGCAAGGACTTTTAAAGAGGCACACAGAATACCTTACCAATTGCAAATACCTAGCTGCTAAATAACTATGGTCCTAAGTTTGGGCCTCTATAGACCTTTCCATGATCTAAAGGTCCCCTGAAACATGAAGGGTCCTGGGGCACCCCATCCCAGCACTGCTGCCTGCACCCACCATATCTGGCCCACTCTGGGGTTAATTGCCTGGTATATCACCCTGGTGAACCCTCTGTCACATTCATCACCCTGCATGACCCTGGCAGGTGGACCTCCTTGATGCCTTGTTAGCAGGATTCAAGGCCCAGATAGAACCCCTGCTGCTCCTCTGGTTGAGCTTCCAGTTGTGTAAACCAAGAGGGCTGAGAGGCGGGCTCTCCACGGGTCCTTCTAGCTCTGATAATGAATGACCCTGAGATTTGATTCACCAAGAATCAGCTTGTATTTTCTTTGCCAAGTGGGGAACAGGGTGCAAGGAACAGAAGACAGACTACTATTTACAAGGGCTCCTGTTTACAAGGGCTACCCCTCCCCCAACACGGTGTCCTACACTTCACACTGCCCATCCCAGCAAATACAGAGTGTAGGGTGCCGAGAGGTAGGACGCCCATTGTGACCAGGTCACTGGGCTCTCCTGATGCTGACCACCAGCTTCTCCTGGTGGAAGAAACAAGTCGAAGGGCCCTCTCTCAAAGTGGGTCCAGCGACCACTCAAGGGAGAAACTTAGTCCACACAGCCACCAGCCATACCTGCTCAGCATCTCAAGACAAACAATCACACAGCATGGCCACTCTTTCAAGCGCTTTGTCAGTCTTGCAAGTGGCAAGCATCCCCCTCTCCACCTGTCATCTCTCTCTCTCTGTTCATTTTTCCTATGAGGTTCTTTTGAAGATGGAAAACCTGCTTTCAATTAAAACTAATAAAGTTCTCCATTATGGGGAATATAAACTCCATATGAGTTGGATGGGGGTTTGCTGCTATGTAAGAATTTCTTTATATTTCACAACATTTTAAACATCCAGAAAAGGGACGTTAGAGAAAGCCCGTTCAAATGTCATCTCCAGTTTTAACAAATCAGCAGGCTGGCACACTTGCAAATATTGCCCTGAGTCCTTTTAAACTTCGAGTAAATGTTATCCCATTGGAAGTATCATGTGGCAGTGCTTTTGAAACAATTTTCTGATAGAGCTATATTAATAATTACAGTTCAAGTATGCTCACTCTGTCTCTCTTTCCTTTTGCTACATATTATTTCATGGTAAGAATACACCATGATCTCAGTCTAATCTCTCGATCAAAGTGAATATGGCTCCTGCTTTTTGCTACGATAATAGCACCATTGTGCTCACTGCCTCCATAAAATGGACTTTTAAGAGAAAACTCAAGATATGAAAACTTTTCCCTGTGGTGAACTCCAGGCCACAGGCCACTAGATAGTCTCACCTGGTCCCCCTTCCAGGCTTCTCACTGTCTCCTTCCCCCCAGGTTGGCTTTCCAACAATGAACTTCCCACAGAGCTGAGGGAGTGATCTCTGAAATCTGACATCAGAGCTTGTCACATCTGCATTAAAATCTTCCAGTGGTGATGTGAGCTGAGCTATAAACCTGCCCTCCCACCACGACCCTCAAACATGTTACATCTAAACCCCCATCTGAAGAATAGGAACATGCTTGGAATGAGGGTCTTTAAAGATGTAATTACTTAGTTTAACATGGATCATACTGGACTACTACCATTTACTGTCATGGAGTCAGAGCTGACTCATAGCTGACCTTCCAATGGGTTTTCGAGAGGCTGTAAATCAAATGGGAGGAGACTGCCCCTCTTGCTCCTGTAGAGCCTCTGGTGGACTCAGACTGTGAGAGAGGTTCTGCTGTGGGTCAGCAATGCCACTCGCTATGGACTAGACCGTCAGGTTCCCCTCATATTGGAATACACAGGCCCTAATCCAAAATGGTGGGAGAAGAATGGGCAGTCTCCTTTCATGAGATCAACTGCCTCTGAAAACCCACCAAAAGGGTTAGCTATGGGTTGGTTCCGACTCTACGGTACACACAGCACCACAATCCAAAATGAGGGGAGCTCTGGCTGCTTAGTGGTAAGGAGCTGTTGCAATCCAAATGCATGTAGTTTGAATCTACTAGAGTCCAGGGGGGAAAGATAAACAGTCTCCTGTGAGGTTCGCTGCCTCTGGAAACCTATCGGAATCGGAGGATCTGTTATGAGTCTGTTCTGACTCAACAGTACATAGCAATCCAAAATGGTGGTAAGGAGCTGCATTGCCAACTCAAAGGCTCACAGTCTGAATCCACCAATTGTTCCATGGGACAAATTCAGGCAATTTCTTCCCCTGTGAGTTACTGTCTCTGAAAACCCACTGAAGCTATGAGCCGGTTCCAACTTGTTAGCAAATAACGGTAACAATACAAAATGAGTGGTGTCCTTAGAAAAAGAGAGGAGGTACATATAGAGAGAGGAGGTCATGTGAAGACAGAGGCAGAGATAAGAAATATGTATTGAGAAGCCAATGAGCATCAAAGACTGTCAGGAACCATGGGAGTTACTCCATCAGAAGCTCAGAACAGACGAGGCAGGATCTTCCCTGCAGCCCTCATGGACAGGCACGGCTCGCCTTTTGACTTTGCATGTCTGGTCGTCAGAACTATGGGACAATTAGTTCCTGTTGTTCTGAGGTATCCAGTTTTTGGTCCTTTGTTATGGGAGCTCTTAGGAAGCAAATACAATTGCCATCTCATCCAAGGCTCTTAGAGCAGATCCAAGTCCTGAACAAAGCCCTCTGCCATCTTGGCCCCTGACTACTTTGCCAGTGTCCTTTGGGAGCCCCCATCCCTCCAGTGAGCTCCAGTCCACTGCTCTTTTCCTTTCTGGACTGTTGTAGATGGTTGTGGCCTCAGAGTCTTCTCCACGACATTCTCTTTCCCAGCTCATCTCTCCAACTCAGCTCAAACACCACCCCTCTGTCTAATTTTCTCATCTGTAACATGGGGTTGGGGAGTTCTGATGGCCTATTGGGTAAGGAGTTTACACTGTGCACAGATCAAATCCACCAGCTGTTCCTAGGGAGAAAGATGGGAAATCTCTTCCCGTGTGATCTGTAGCCTCTGACACCCTGCTGGAGGGTCGGGGCCAGCTATGGTTTGGTTTCAAGTTGACAGCAATGAGTTTAATGTTTGTTTAACGTGGGGTCAGTAGTCATGCCTTGTAATGCTGTGTGAGCTCTAGGCCCAGCACAGAGCAGTGCGCATGAGGCAGGGGCAGCGCTAATTTTTAGAAGAACCTAATTAAATGTGTGAAGACAAGAACTCAATACCAGATATGACAGAAACTTACTGCCATGATTCACCCCAACCCTTCCCCTCCCAGAAGGCCCTCCTGGCTCCTGGAAGGGTCCTTTCTGGTCCAGCCTCTCCCACCTTCCTGAAGGTGACTCACCTGAGACCAGGCTCCGGTGCGCCACTGGGCTGGGCAGGGCACGCGGAGGCAAGGTCGACGGCCCTCTGGCCGGTCCCCAGAACAGGCCTTGGCTGGCATGGCCTTGTGGGTGCCATTGGACAAGGGCAGCAGGCACTGCACACCCCGAGTCTGTATCCCCAGCTTCCCACAGCTCCGACTGCAGGCGCCCCAATCTTCTGTCACCCACCTGGAGACAGCGTGGAGACATGGGAGACAGGACCATGAGTTACTTCCTCCCGAGGGCTGCCTCTCATTCCCGCCCCCCCAAAACTGGCACCAGCAAGGATCAAAGTGTGGCTTCAGGACACTTGGGGCCATGACAACTGTCCTCCTGGCTCAGATGACTAGCCAAGTGGCCTTAGGGAAGGAACTCTTCCCTCCCGCTCTCCGTCTTGTCATCTGTAAAGTGAGCAGAGTGCATATTTAAATTCTGGTGTCATAAGTGGTCCTTGCTAAAGTCACGAATGCCTCTGAGCCACATTAAAACAAACAACACAAAACCCAAACCCACTGATTCTGACACACAGCAACCATCCATGGACCGCAGGAGTTTCTGGGCTGTAATCTTTACAGAAACAGATTGTTGTTGTTGTTGTTATGTGTCGTCGAGTCGTTTGTGACTCATAGTGACCCTATGCACAACAGCCCTAAACCCTGCTCTATCCTGCGCCAACCGTACTGCCTCCGACACACCCATCCCTATCACCCCAGTCACCGAATCAATCCATCTCATAGAGGGTCTTCCCCTCCTGCGCTGTCCCTCCACTCTCCCAAGCATGATGTCCCTCTCCAAGG